ATATATATATTTTGTGTGCGTGGGAGAGAGAGTGAGTGGAGTGTATTGTGTATGCGTGTGTGTATATGTATGCGCATATTTATACACCCTTGTTTATTTTCTAAGCTCTATCTGTCCGGTTTTCTACTTCTAGTTCATACTAGATCTTATCGGCGATGTAGACCAACGGCGGCCGTGTAACATAGTGTGCACACAGCCGCGCCGTCTGAGTGCAACGGCTGTGGCTGGTCGAGTGGCAGCCGAAAGGGGCGAGAAAGTGGGCCAGGGGGTTGGATATAGTATTCGCCTGGAGAACAAGCGATGTGCAGAGACACGACTTCTGTTCTGTACGACAGGTAGGTATTTATTTAGGTATATATATATTTTATATATTTATATATATATATATATATGTATATATATTTAAATGTATAAATAAATGTATATATTGATATATATATGGATAGATATATATATGTAAATATGTACAAATATATATACATATAAATACATATATATATATATATATATATTGTAATATGGGTGTGGTCCACAGACAGTAGTGAGCTTGAAGGCTCGTGTGCAGAACTGAATTATGTTTGGTGCATGCTTGATGGTTCCGGTGGATGTGGGGTGATTTTGTTAGAGTGATGGAGACATGGAAAAATGTTGTATGTCTTACGATATTGGTTTATGCCTACAGCTGATTTGGTAAGTGTAGACCAATAGACGAAGAGCATAAAACATTTAGTAGTGTACTGTAATAGTATGATGGAATACATAGCGAGAAGGGCGATGTTGCGTCAGTGACCAGAGGGTCTGACGGCAAGCAATATCTAGCTATAGATGCATATGTCAAGCTTGTGGGATGATCAGTCCTCACTACCTTGTAAGCTATTACACTACTTTGGTCCTATAAAGTACAAACGTTGTTTCACTCTAAACCGTTCGTGAACTAAATAAGTTACTCACAATATATATATTATTATATATATTATTATATATATATTATTATTATTATTACTATTATTATTATTATTTATATGTATATATTTATATGTATATATTTATATATATATGTATATGTATATTTATATGTACATATATTATTATATATACATAAATATATATACATATATTATTATATATATATTATTATATATACATTATATATATATTATTATATTATTATATATATATGTATGTATGTATGTATGTATGTATATATA